GGTGTGGATGAGGGAGGAGTCTGCACCCCAAAGCTGGTAGAATGAATGATCCCTACAACTCGCTTAGCGCCCCGGGTGCGTGCCTCTGCGCAGGGCAGCGCAGGAAAGTTGTGAGGTGCCGGGGTCCAGCCCCTAGAGTCTGAAGTGCTGGAATCCGCAGAAGCCTCCCGCCACCGCGGGGTGGCAGAGTTGGGGGCAGGCTAGCCCCACGGACCCCAAGGGATGGCCCCGCCCCGTGGCTGTCGGGAGGCCAGCCATAGGGGGCGGAGTTGTCGCCGCCCCCCATCTCGTGGAACTGCGGCCCCTTCTTAACCTCGGAGCCTCTGTCTGCCTCTCATTCGTGTCTCCTGCCAATCTCCCGCGCGATGGCCTCGGCGCTGAGCTATGTCTCCAAAATCAAGTCCTTCGTGATCTTGTTCCTCACCCCGATCCTGCTGCTGCCACTCATCATTCTGATGCCCGCCAAGGTCAGTTACGTCTCTCGTCAGCCCGGCGCTCAGTGCCCTATAACGGGCACGGAATTCCCGGAGCACTGAGCTGCAACGCACGGACTGCCCCCGGGACAGCTCCCCTGAGGCGAGCTCCAGGTGCCACATGGGAGGTGAACTGCAAAGAATCCTGAGGGGTGCAGAGACCAGATCCCAGGGCACAAGAACCGTCCGGGCAAGCACAAAGATCTAGACGTGAGCACAGATCTTAGCCACACAGACTCCAGTCGGAGGCTTAGCCTTTGGCTCATACTCTCCCCCAGAGTGCATAACCGCTGTCCCCATCTCTCCCCAAGATGTCACTCATGTTAGCAGGGACTTTGAGTGCCTTGCCTCTCCCTCCCTCTGTCTTTTCTCTCTTTTCCCTCGGTAAATGGACACTTCCCAGCTGCAAGTGTCTTCTGACCTCAGTGGGGACCCACACAAAAAGACCATCACTTAAGTGATTCCTGAGATCTGCCTTTGCCACTCTCTGTCCCCTTTTGGGACCTCAGTTTTCCCCTCTGCGATCCACATTTCTTTCCATCTCTGAAACCAGCAAAGCCACATCTGATTCAAAAGTCCTGCTCTAGGATGAAAAGCAGGTCAGAGTTGGTCTCTTTGCCTGCTGCCTGCTGTGGCTGTGGCAGGAGGTGGGACATGTTCCCAGAGCTCACGCCTTGGGTGGCATGGTCCTGGGTAGCAGAGAAGCTGCCTTGGCCTCCTAGTGCTTCTGGGAAGGAGGGAGAGAATGAATGAATGGCCTTGGTGGCGGGGTGGGGGCAGGGTGGCCTGCTCAGCCTGGCCCAGACTCACTTGTGCTGTGCACAGCCAGTTTGGCAGAAGCCCGAGCGCTTTGAAGCCTTTTGTGGCTGCTGGCTGCTTCTTCCTCCTTCCTTTTTTCAATCCTTTCACTCAGAGCCCTGACAGGAAACCTTCAGTTCCTGTGTCCCCTCCCCAGGCAGGTTTGAGAAACAGAACTCCTCAAGGGATGCTCCAGCAGGGATCCTGGAGGAAAGGGGTGCATTGGGGTATCAGGAAGCCAACCTGCAAAAGAACTGGATTTCCACCATTCCCTTAATCTCACGACTTTAGCCAAGACCCTGTGTTCTTGGGTCTTGGTGCACTATAATGGGGTGGTTTGATTCTGACACTTGTTTTGGTTGTCAAAAGAGATTGTTAGTTCCTGGGATGTAGAAAGAAAGACTGGGAGGAGCTCTTGGTATAGTGGAGCAGAGCCCCTGGTTGGGCCAAAGACAGTAGATTGAACTCTGACAGCTCTGTACACCATCAGTGAGCAGCCATAGTTCCTCATTGAAGAGATTTAGGGCTGTTACAGCCCGTGGGAGGGAGCCAGGCAGGAGGGCTGTGATTTTAGTTCTGCTGGCAGGAATAATTATAGTTGCTTGATTGACCTTCCTGCTCCGGGGCAGTGTGACTGAGATCCCACTTGCGCACGCGGGCGCACACACACACACACACACACACACACACAGGTGGGTTCTGAACTGAGATCCCTACTCAGATATATGTGCATGTGTCAATTAACCGCCCTGGCAGTGAGGCTTAAGGGAAGTGAGTGCTTAAGAGAAGAGAGGAGACACCAGTGAGAGTTCTTCCAAGGCTACCTTCCCATGGCTCCCTGCAGCCCATGCTGGGCTGGGGGCTTGGAAGCCTGGGTCCCTGGCTTCTCGTTTTCTCCCTTTGTGTGCATCTGTTTTGAGAGCTCCCTCACCCTCCCTCACCCTCCATGTCCTCTCACCTCCCACTTTGTGCAAGGAAATCCAGAGGTACAAGGCACAGAAGGAGCTTGGCAGCTGGGGCAGCGCTGTCTTCACCCAGTGGCGACTCCCAGGTCACACCGCCCTCTGCTGTTGCCCAGCCCCTCTCCTCCAGGCTTTCTTCTTTCTTTTCTTTCATCTACCTTGTTTGCTTCCTGGGCTCATCTTTGTTCTGCTTTTTTTTTTTTTAAACTCTTTCTCTTGGTCCCTTTAAAAAATCATTTTAATGAAATAAGTGATTTACTTTATTAAAATCATAAACAATTCTTTTTTACAAGTTTGTAAAGTATAAAGTAAAAATGAAAATGTCCTCAAATCCCATGACCATTTAATATTTTGTTAGAAATCTTTCTAGAAACCAATAATTAATCTTTTCTCATTAGACACACACACACACACACACACACACACACACACACACACTGACAGAGAGAGAGAGATTGTTTTGCATATATATATATATATATTTAATACAACACATTGAGGACACTCTTGCTGGTGGATACAGTCATGTGTCACATGGCAATGTTTTGAACAATGCTGGACCACATATATGACAGTGATCCCATAAGATTGTATCACCTAGGGACATCGTGTTCATTCTAGTTTCTGTAAATGCACACTGTGATATTCACACCATGAGGAGATTGCCTGAGGACACATTTCTTAGAATGTGCCCCCATTGCTAGGCAATATGTGATTGTCATCATATCAACAATGACTCCTGTTTTTATTCAATTGTGCATTTATTCACATGTGCACTCAGTTGTGCACATGGCCCCTCTATGTGTTAGGCTTGGTGCTGAGTACTGACTTTTAAATCCCATGGCCTACTTTTATCTCTTCTTTAGTGATTTTTCCAGCCCCTTATCAGTTGCAGGAAAGTGTTCTGAAGTTGTATACCAAAATCCAGGATCCTCTCTGAAGGTAGACTCTACCTCTCCATTGATGCCATGGGAGCTTTCTGGAAATAGGGAGGGTCAAGTTTGTTGCTGGTATTATTAGTCAGGCCTGAGGCACTTCCTAGACTTTCTAATAGTGTAATTGAGGTGAAGGAACAATTTTCCTTGTGTCCCAACCTCTTTTCTAATGTTTATCTCTGGTTTCTCCAGGAGCTCACAATGAAAATTGGTTACATGTGTCATCCACTGCTTCTAAGTTTAAATAATAAAAAATTACCAAGGTCTTTCTGAGTGCCAGTCATTAAGAATAGGCCCTCTGAAATCCCCAACTTATAGATGAGGACATGAAATGACCTTGGAGAGGGGCTAGGATTGGGAGCAAAAGATGTAATTTATCAATGACATTGTTTAGAATTTCTATCACGTGATGATCATAAAAGCAGACTGATTTTTTTAGTAGTATTGTTTTAAAATTCTCTACAATGCACCCTCTTGCCCACACCTGGAGGGAATCCTTCCCTCTATTCATGGCACACCCCTGACCCCAAGGCTCAGAGAACTTAAGTGACTACTGAAGGTCAGATAATGGTGGACACTGGACATTGATCAGGCTGGCTGGTGGCAAAGCCTGGCTTCTAACCGTACTGCCATTCTGACTTAAGTCCAGTGGCTCTCAGCCAGCATTGATTCTGTTGGGGTGAAAGGAAAGGCTTCCCTTTGGGCTCTGAAGGTTCATTGCCATGAACTGACAATAGACAGATTAAATAGGAGAAAAGATATACAAATTCATTAGGTGCATGGAGGCAATTACAAAGTGTGATTCCCTATTAGCCCAACACGGTTTTGAATCTTATATACCCTCTTCCATAAGGGAAGGGTACAATAGAGAATGTAGACAGTTTTTTTAGGGAAATAGTAAATGATTTTTAGGGGAATTCAGGGAGCTTGGAGGAATGTACAATGTCCTGAGATAAAGTTCATTGGGCCCATAGAGCATACAATGGGTTGTAAGTGATTCTCTTTGGAATATTGAATGGAACCAAAATAGAGGACAATGCTGTGTGATAAATGTCTGTCCATCTGCCTTTCTTCTGCAACATGGGTTCAGTTAATGAAAACTCAGGGAAGGGACCAGAGGCGGTTGTTTCTTGCTTGGTGGGATGGGACTTTAAGTAGACATGGAGATGTCAGAGTAGCATCCCTTCCTGCATCTGCTGCTCTGAGTTTTTTAAATTTAAAATAATCAGCATGCCAGGGCACCATATTTTGGGGGTGACAGTCTCTGGACTTCTTCAATCATCTGTCCTTCTCACAGCAAGGGACAAATGATGGAGTGGCCTTTTTGAAGTTGCAACCAGAGTCTCTTGGGTGGGAAGCAAGGATGCTATTAAACCTCACGAGACAGTCTTAGCAACAAAGAATCATCAGACTTGAAAAGTCAATGTGCCAGGGTTTAGAAACCCTAAACTTTCCTGCTTGGAGCAGTAGGAAGGTATCCTGAGTTGCTTGTGGGATGCTGAAGAAAGATTTATTTCTCCTCTCAGCTGATGCTATTTGGTTCCTTCTCTGAGCACCTGCTCAGCATCTACCAAGTGCTGAGACTACGCAGGATGCTGAGGACAGACTGAATCTACAAATATTGCTTGTTTCCTCAAATGGCATGATTGGATGGTGGTGCTGGGTGGGGGCGGGGAGAAGGTGAAGTGAACGAGGCAAATCTAGTGTAGGGGGTGTTGCTTCTAGGAAGGGCACAAAGCAGAAACAAAGAACAAAGATAGATTGGTCATTTTAAAGATGCTTTCTTTGAAGGTGGGGACAGGGAGACAGAACAGTAGAAAAATAACTGATTGGTAAATTTCAGGTGACTATTTTGTAAGGACTAAAGGAGAGGGGAACTTCATTATCATTCAGATTGAACTTGGCCTGTTTGGGAAACTTGGCTCTTATCTCTCCTGATTTCTCAGAAGATCAGATAAGAACTTGGTTTGGGTTTGATGACATGAAACCCCAGCGCTAGTGACTCCAGTCTGATTTTTGTCTGGTCTCTTGGGACCTGGTGCAGGAGGCTGGTCCAAAACAATGGTCTATAATTTTTAAATAACAGGATAAAGGGTAGAAAAGGGGACGAGGCCTGCAAATAAGGGATAGAAGCCTTGGTGACTGGTTTTGTGGAGGGGGCTAGAATGAGGGAGAGGGCCAGTGAAACATGAAACAGCTAGGGATGTAGGAATTATTGTCCACATTTTAACAGGTGACAAAACCGAGGGCCAAGGTGGTTTAATGACTTACTCCAAGTCCTACAGCGAATGAGGACCAGGATGGCAGGTGCTTGCATTGGAACCCAGTTCTGCCTCACTGCAGAGCTAAGAGTCTGGTGGCTAAGTGGCTAATGAATGTGACTTGACCATCTGTTAAATTAAACATAAAACGAGACACCTTTGTAATGGGAGAGATGGTGACAAGTCCAAGGTTTGAAAAGATGAAAGAACTTGCCTGGGACTATGCAGCTGGGAAGGGGAAGGCATAGGGTGGTTAGGAGTGGGGCTGGAGTTTTCTGATGACAAATCCAGTCCTGAGCCTGGAGAGCTGTGCTGGCAGAGGCAGGGCACAGGATCCCTTTAGCGGAGTCCCCACCGGCTCCCTTCCCCTTTGGTGGGATAGGGCGGTGGGGGCGGTGAGGCTCGTGAGGTCTCAGGGCGGTCTCTTCAGTTTGTCAGGTGTGCCTACGTCATCATCCTCATGGCCATTTACTGGTGCACGGATGTCATCCCGGTGGCTGTCACTTCCCTCTTGCCTGTCTTGCTCTTTCCGCTCTTGCAGATATTGGACTCTAAGCAGGTGAGCCAACTCAGGGGGTCCTGGTGACTTCCCAGTTCTCTCGTGGACCCCTTCCTTCTCCAAGTCCATCTCTGGGGGGCCTGGGGGTGGGGGTGGCCAGATAAACCCCACTGGTGGATTCTCCCTGGTGTGAAAACATACCACCCCAAGCTGCTCCTGAAGTCAGCATCTGGTCTGCTTGCCTGTCCCTGCTGACAGGTAGCCCTGGGTCCAAGCAGTATGTGGAACAATCCTCCTGGGCCCTCCATGCTGCCCTCTAGGTGTGTGTCCAGTACATGAAGGATACCAACATGCTGTTTCTTGGAAGCCTCATAGTGGCTGTGGCCGTGGAGCGCTGGAATCTACATAAGAGGATCGCCTTGCGCACCCTCCTCTGGATAGGGGCCAAGCCTGCACGGTAATTAAGTCTTCTCTCTCTCTCTCTCTATGGCCATGTGGCTCTGCGTGGGCCCCCAGGGCTGAGGAGTGGAGTGTGGCACAGACCAGATCACCCTCAGTCAGTGCAGGAGGGCTGGCCACTGCTTCTCGGGACTTGGCAGGCTGGCCTCTGGGTGGGGCACGTTCCAATCTTAGCTGGGAGACCAGGTGCCTGAGGGGTGGTTGCAGATGGTGAACAGCAGTAGGCAAAGGTTCTCTGCCTCCAAGGGCAGATTGGCTAGCAAGAACCTTTGCAGGTTCCAGAGGTTTCCCAAGGGAAGTGGCTATGGGGTTCCACAGGGACCAAGTTGGATGGAGGTTGGAAAGCAGACCTGAGATGGTTCCGCTACTCAGCTCAGAGGGAAGCAGAAAGGTCTTTCCTTCAAAGCTTGGCCGTGTACCTGAATGGGTAGCTCCTTACCTCACTTCCCCCTACATCCCTCTGTACCTCCTAAGATCCCCCTTCCAATCAGCACACAGGGTATTCTAGCCATCCCATGGGGCCAGTATACTCTTATTACAATCATAATGGCACAGTGGATGTCTCCAAGGCCCCAGGCATGACTTTGGGAACTTATTTATCACCTTATTTAACTCTTATTACAACTCTGAGTGTTGGGTATTATGAGGAATCTGAGGCAGAAAGTGGGGAAGTGACTTGCTGACAGTCACATGGGGGTTGGACTCAGTATGTCTGATACAGACTGTGACCCTCAAATAGGGAACTCAGGGCGCATCTTTTGAAAAGATGTGCTCTGTAATTAATGGTGCATTCTCCACCCAGCCCTTGGGAGGCAGCTGTGGGTTAGTTCCCAGTAAATACCTCCTGAGATGTCCATGTCTCAGGGACTTTCCTGGGCCATGAGCACACACAGATCCTAGCTGGCTTTTTAGGTGACCATGCCTGGGTCTCCCTTGGTGCCTGCTACTGACTCACCTGAGCAGAGAACTCTGTGAGTCGCTGACTTCTTCGTGGCATAGATCTTCTCTGGTGATGGGTTTATAGGGTCAGATCACAAATCATTGTATTTTTTAGAAACACAAGTGCTCAGGAAAGTGGATCTTGGTCCCCTCAGCATTCTTCTCTTGGAAACTTTAAGTGGCTAGCTTGGGGCCCTCAGCAGGTGGGAAGCCACCATAGCAGCCTTTGCTGGAAGCTTTGTCTTCTCTGCTCCTTCCTGCCACCTGGATCCTCCTCGGGGCCTGGCTTCCAGCTGTCCTGGGGTGGACCTGTATGCAGAGGTCTTCTTGGTGCCTTGAAACTTTGCACAGAAGCCGTGGTCCTTCTGAGACCACCTGCACTCACCAGACTATCATCTCCTCCAGGCCTGGATTCCAGTCTTTGACTTTACGGGTCCATGAGGTCAACCTGTATGGACATCAACTTGAGCCTTAGTGTAGCTCAGTCCCCTGGTCCCTTCTTCATGATCCAGCCCTCAGGCACATTAGTATCCCCAAGGAGGAGTCTGATGGCAGAGGGCTTTAGAGACCTAGAGCAGTTGAGTTCCATTCAGCCAGCCTCCCCGAGAACCTTCTGTTCCTGCATCGTGCAGCTGGGGGATGTAGAGCCATGGAGAAGAGTCAGGCCCTATCCCCACTATAGCCTAAGCAGAGAGCTCACATGGAAACTGATCTTCCAAATGCCACTAAGTGATGAGTGTAGAGGGAGGATGGAGAAGGGTGTGACAGCTCTACTTGGCACACACTTGGAGGTGGCCACAGAGGAGGGTTGTTGTCTGAGTCCACTTGGGGGGAACCAATAGGAGCTCTCCAGGTGGACAGTGGGGTAAAAAGAAGAGAGGGAGCAGCAGTGGAGAATGAGGGTTTATAAGCAAAGGGAACATATTTTCTAAACACTGTTAGTTTAACCTTGTTTACTACAGAGTAAGACTAGTTTAATCTGGTTTACTACAGAGTGAGCAGGTACAGGGAGCTGGCCAGAAGAGGGCCAGCCATCAGGAAGGTCACAGTTCCCTTAGCTCCCACCCCGCTATCCCTACCTCTCCAGGCAGATTCTTCATAGCTCTTCTGAACTAAAGAGAGGAGAGCTGAGGCTGAAATGTGGCTCTTTTGGATACACATGCCTGCACACAGGGGTGCTCCAGCACACCCCTAGGGTCATACTCCATACTGAGTTGACACCCTCTGAGTGTTTATGCCTTTCCTCCTAGCCACAGCTGCCTCTGGAGTCTTGCTGTTCTATTAGCCAGCAGAGTAGATGTCATGTTTGACAGAAAGGAGTAGCAGGAAGGGAGGAAAGAGGGTAGGGAGGAAAGAAGGGAAGGAGGAAAAGAGAGAAGCACCCAAACTGTAATATTCTATTGGAATATCCAGTCTTGAATTGGCCTGCAGGGTTGGACCTAGCCTCTGGTTGCTCCTGGGGATGAAGGGGTTGGGGAGTGGGGGATTCTCTGGCTTTCCTCTCGTGCCCCGTCTCTGCAGGCTGATGCTGGGCTTTATGAGCGTCACTGCCTTCCTGTCCATGTGGATCAGCAATACAGCCACCACGGCCATGATGGTACCCATTGTGGAAGCCATGCTGCAGCAGATGGAAGCCACAAGAGCAGCTACTAAGACCAATCTGGAGGCACTGGAGTTAGTGGACAAGGGCAAGGCCAGCGAGTTGCCAGGTGAGCCCCAGGCTGGGTCAGTGCATGGGCTACAGTCCCAGCCTTCCCCTCCATTGCCAAACATTTTGGCTACCTTCTTATCCTTTCCTCCTTCCTGGAGCCCAACTCTAAACATGCATAGAGAACAATATTAGGAAGTACTGTTTTCATACGTTTTAGAAATGTCAATTTTGCATCAATTGACACTTTTGCATAAATGTTCTGGGAGAGCTATAACACTTCATTTCCATGAGTAAAAGCTTATAATGGGGCTGGGGATGTAGCTCAATGGTAGGGCACTTGCCTAGTATGTATGAGGCCTTGGGTTCCATCCCCAGCACTGCAAAAAAAGAAAAAAAAAAGCTTATAAGAAAATCCTACCCCTAGTTCTTTCCAACCACAGAAATTAGTGTTTAAGTGTTCATTTTATTCATTTGAGTATCTTTTGAACACCTACTGGGTACTCCTCAACCCTTGCTACTCCTACCATCCTCAGGGAGACCTTCTCTGACCCAGAGCATGCCAAATTCCTCTGCTCTACTCTCACAGATCTTGGGGTTGTGTCCTGCCTTTGCTTCGTATTAGGTTCAGAGCTCAGGGAATATAAGATAGCATCTGTCTTACGCTGTCTCTTCTCTGCCTATCCCAAAACCCTGCATTGTGAACTCAGACCCATGATTGATGTCCTGATTACCTGACCCTGGGTGGGGACCTGGGGCTACCGAGGTGATGGGGTACACTCCAACCACCAACTCTTGTGGAGTCCAGTGGGATGGCATCAATGGGTCCCTCAAACAAATTATGTGACTTGGAAGAAGCCATGGGCAAGCCATAAACCAGATGCTTGAGGGAGCTCAGGAAAAAAATGAGAAGCCTTGTTGGGAGGAAAGACACTGGAGGTAGATTTACACTCCCACTAGATGCAGGGAGCATCTCGAGCAACAGCAAGGAACTAGAGAAGAGGGGATATGCGTCTCAAGTTGCTGATTTGGGGGCTGAGAGTGTCGTTCAGTGGGAGAGTGCTTGCCCAGCAGGAATGAGGCCTTGAGTTCAATCCCCAGAACTGGAAAAAAAATTGCTGGATTTGACAGGAGCATGGAGAAGACTTAGGGAAGTCTTGGGAAATGACTGTGGGAAGGCAGATGGGACCTGACCATGACTTTAGTTCGGAAGCTGAGGAATGCATGTGGAAGGACCTGCCAGGGGGTGGGGGATCTCCCCTTCCTGAGGTTAGGAGCAGAGTCAGGATTTGAGGTTGGCTAGGTAGCCCCCAGTGACTGGCCTCAGCTAACATTGCTGTGTTCACCACAGGAAACCAAGGGATTTTTGATGGATCTGCCATGGAGAAGCAGGAGGACCAATACAAGAAAAGCATGTGCAAGGCCATGAACCTGTGTGTGTGCTACGCAGCCAGCATTGGGGGCACGGCCACCCTGACTGGGACCGGACCCAATGTGGTGCTTCTGGGCCAGATGCAAGAGTGAGTCACTGGCCACAACTTCAGGGAAAACAAAGTGGGCCCTGGGGCTGGAGGGACCCCTACTCATCTCTCCCACCTCAGCTGGGCCCTTGGAGCTGGGAGGCCAGGAGGAATGGGAAGATGTGTCCCATCTAGCCTCTATGTCCCAGCACCACTGCAACCACTCAGAAACACTCAGAGGACGTGGGAACCTGTTGCCAAAGGAGTTAATGGGCAGGGATGCTTTCTCTCTTGGAGTGAGTTCCATCTTTCTTTCCTGGGCTCAGAAATTCCAGCTCAGACAGGGACTGTGAATTGAATTCTCAGCTCAAGTCATGGGAGATGACAGTGTAGTCACAGATACCTGAGTTAAAATTTGCAGGAATTAGACATCTCTAAGAGTCTCCCCCACTCCCTTGACTCACTAACAGGGGGGTTAATGGCCATGGTTCCAAGATATGGAGGTTCTACTGATGGTATGAAGGGTTGGGTCATTTTTTATCTTACTATCTCACTCACTCTAACCCCACTCATTGTCCTGGAGGTGACATATTCCTTGTGAGGCTCCAGGTGGACCGCAAGGGTAGTTTGGAACTTTTTAACCTTGGCCAGAAAGGGACACAGGCCATGAGGATTCCCTCTCTGTGCCCAGCCTTGTGCTGCATGGGGCTGGGATCACGGAAGTGAGAGAAGCCTGGGCCCTGCCTGGGGCTTTCATGGTCTGCTGAGGGTGCCAGATGCCAAGGAGCTACAGGTGGGTCTGGTAAATAAACACCTTAATTGAGGTATGGATAATTGTCAGGTGTTGGAATAAAAAATAAATGCAGACAAGAGCTATGGTCAGGGGCAGGGAAAACTGCTGGCACAGGAGTTGGGAGACAGAAAAGATAGGACAGCAGTCCTTAGGGCAGATACTGAGGTTCAGCAGCCAGAGTGTTTTTAATCCTGGGAGGGTTTTCTCTAACTATATCCTTAGGCTTCTCCCTGCAATTCCTCTGGGAAAAACAGCCTGTCTGGGCTGAGTGGGAAAAAAAATCTGTGTCTGCTTTGACAACCTTGGGCTACCGGGGGCCTTGGGGCTACTAGTGCTGGCTTGGGTTGGGAGGCGGGCCTAAGGAACATCTTTTTGTTCCACCCTGGGAAATATTTTTGAGATTGCTTAGAAACCTACAGGGTGAGGGGGTTACAGGCATACACAGACCCCTGAAGCTGTCAATCAAATTACATGCATATGTTTGCAAAAGTGGGCTTATCTTGCGGGATGGAGCCATAACTTGATGAGATGCCTAGCAGGGTTGGGATCCATAGGAAATGTTTATTGGTCATTCTTCAACCTTGTCTTGTGCTCTGGCCTCCCCACTTGATCAGAGCATAGTGTTACAAGACAATGAACTTGGATGACTGGACCTCAGGAGGATGTGGCCCTGAATCCTACCCATCTCTCAGGATCCAGCTACTGCTCAGCCTCTGCTCATTGCTGGCTTGCTCTGCACAGCTCAGCCTGGGTTGAGGTGTAGGCCAGTATCTCTCCTTTCAGATTGTTTCCTGGCAGTAAGGACCTCTTGAACTTTGCCTCTTGGTTTGGATTTGCCTTCCCCAACATGCTGATAATGTTGCTGCTTTCCTGGTTGTGGTTGCAGTGCATTTATCTGAGATTCAGGTAAGTCAGAGCTGCTCACAAGATGCCATTCCAATTGTGCCACCCCGTCCCTGCAGAAATGTCCTTCAGTTCTGGCCCTGTTTCTGCAGCTCTATCTCTAGCTAGGCTGCCCTCCCATTCCCACCATCCCCAGTTGCTCAATGTGGCTTTGCGCACATTGTTCCCTCTGTCTGGAAAGCCATTTCCTGCTTTCCCAGTTGCTCACCTCCTTAGCCTTCAAGGCCAGTTCAAGTGCTACTTCCCCGGCTACTCCTTCCCAGGCTTCCTCTCACCTCCATTCCATCTCAGAAGAACACTTGCTCCCCTCTCTTCTGAGATGCCCCTGGGCATATCACGGCCCTATCCTTTGCTACCTGTCTGTGTTCCAGTGCTGCTTCTTACCCTTGACCGTGAACTCTTCCAGGACCTCTCTGACCCTGGCACCCAGCATAGCTCCTGGCCCAGGGAGAAAGGGCAAGTATGCCATCAACTTGGGCTAAAGCAGAAATTTGACCCATGTGAACAAACTTTCACTTGGCCACCTGGCTCCATTAGACCAGGTCACAAACAAAAAACAAAAAAACAAAAACCCTCCTGATATCATCTAAATCAATCCAAGCCCAGACCTTTACCAAAGGCCTACGATGTTCCCAACAGATTACTCATCCTGGAAAGTTTACCTTCCTCTTCCCAGCACACTGTCAAGTTCACCTGGAGTCAACCTTCACTGGGGCCAGACTTTGGACAGAAACTGTGACGTGCAGCTGACAAATACCTAAAAAAAAAAGTTGTTGTTATTTTAAAAGACACAAATGTATCTGTGGCAAAAGGTGATCATGCCACTCTAGGATGAAAGTACTCAGCTAGGAGCTAAGCGTGTGTGCTGTGCCCCACTTCACAGGGAGCTTGAGTCAAGTGAGACGCAGGACCCTGTAGGACCGGAGGGAAGGGACTCAGAGTAAAGGTACAGAAGTGCCTACAAGCCTGTAACTTAATGGGGGAAACAGGTGTTTTTCTTTGTTTTCTTTTGAAGGAGGACCTGTTCAGAAGCTGCCTTTTAAAATTTGCTACACATGTTCAAAACAGTCACTTTAATGATCATAATAGTAGGCAGGGCTCCATTCTACCCACCCCGCCTGGGGTCCAGTCCCCCACTCTCTGGGAAAGGGACGCGCTTCCATGATCACCTGCTGCACAACTTGACTTTGACAGCAGCTTTCTTTGCTCTTCTTTCTGAAACTGTGCAAGGACTAAAGTCCAGCTGGTTTGCTCATATCAACCAGGGAGGCCTGTCAGCAGACAGTCCCCAGGACCTTCTGCAGGGGGCACCTGTGTCCATTCATGGACAATAGAAATATCAATGACTAATGTTTAATCCGGTGCCTATTATGTGCCAGACCTCATTCAAACACTCTGCATTTATGAATTTGTTTAATCTTTACAACAATCTGTGAAGCAAATATTATTATAATTATTATTGCCAATTTACAGATGAGGTAACTGAGGTCTGCAGAGGTTAAATGGCCTATGCAAGTTTATGTGATATGGAAGTAGATGGCCTGAAATTGGAACCCTGGAAGTTTGGCTCTGGAGTCTGTGCCCTTGACCTACAACCCTACATCCATCTCCTTCTGGGGAGGTCAAAGGTTGCTGTGCTGAACTGCCACCAAGCCAAGCATGACCGGGTGTCAAGAGCACTAGTAGTGGTCTGGGGGCATCCCTAAAGCCCAAGGGCCAAGTAAGAAGAAGGAACTGACCTGACATCAAGACCACAGGAACATAGTCAGCCTCTCATTCATCAGCTGAGGTGAATACCAGGCCCCTGAAAACTCAGCCAGGAACCTGATGCTACAGTTCACCCAGCCTGGTGCAGCCTCCCTCAGCTCTTCTGGGCCATCAGGGAGCCTGGAGAGCAGCTACCATGCAGCATGGGGACTTTGGGAGCTTGGTGGTGGTGGAGGAGCTGGGCAGCCATCTGATTCCACCCTTCCCCTATGTGCTACTCTAGCTTGGACACAGAGCAGAGGGTGGCTCACAGGTCAACTAGTTTCAGTTCCAGATCTTGAAGGTGGAGGACAGCATTTTCCTCTTGGCTGGAATGATGGGGACAGGTCACATCCGGTGCAAACCAGGACCTGGAGATTCCCTTCTGCCTCGTTGGCCTCTGGGACCATATCACCTAAGGATGAGGAGTGCATGTCTTCGCCACAGGAACCACCTCTACAATCTAGCAAGCCTCACTCTCACTCGAGTTTCTCATTTGCATGGCTGTGGAGAACAACGTCAAGATCTCATCCTCTAGCCTAATCCAGGAAAACTGTCTTGTTGAAATTATGGGCAGCTTCCTGGCTACATTCTGCCAATGGGGCCACAGACCCTCACCCAGGACTGCCAAGAACATGGGATATTACTGCTGGCTGCTACCCAACTGTTCCAACCAGGCCAAAAAGGGGAAGAATGCTCTTCCCAACCCCTGCCATGTAGAGGCATATGGGGGCTCAAAGATCTCATGCCCTGTCCTTGGCTCTGCAGCATAGTCAGTCCACGTCTACCACGATGCATCACAGTGAAGGCCATTTTGCTACAGGATGCTGTGGTCACCACCCCAATCCTGGGCTCCTGCAGGCCAACTGGACCCATGTACCTGCCTCTCATGCCAGCTCAGCAGTCACCTGATGAAATTAACCTAGAAACAATAGCTAAATTGCTTAACATAGGAGGATCGGAAGGCTTGGTGGCACCAGTACGGGGGGCCAGGGTCAGTGACTGCATATTTGATGCGGCCCCAGAGTCTGTAGCCACTGTGTTGTTGGGAATGTGTTACCAGAACCAAATGGGCTCAGCTCCTTATGGCCAGTCCTTATTGTTCCTTATTGCTGGACAGCTAGGAATACCAAGGTCACTCCTTATTCTGGAAACCTGAGGCCCCTGGCACAGCTCCAAAGTCACTAGGATGACAGATGGCAGCAGGTCAATGCTTGGAAGAACATGGACTCTATGGAGCCAAGGAAGGTCCCCTCCTATATCATCCCCACTCCTAATGATCTCATGACCTGGGGCTTTGCCCTACGTCCAGCAAGGAGATCCCAGCTGACTGCAGACCTGAGAGTCCAACACTCCTGCCCATTTTCCTACCTCTGGGCACCCCAGGAGGCCATGTCCTGACGTCCTAGTTTCCCTGTGCTGCAAGCCATGCCACCATTGCCAGCATGACTCTCATGATCTCAAAGGTGGTTCACATCCAGCAGTGGATTTGTAATCAGCATCTATTCCACCAACCCCAGCCCTTCTGTGAATCTTGTCTTAGGCCCTAGGAAGACTGTCATGGAGAAGGCTCTCCAGGGACAATGCTCTTGACATTCTCTGCTCCCTTCAGACCGACAGTGGTAGGAATGGGTGAATGGAACCCTCAAAGAGTATCTCAGGGCCTGCAGCCAGTGCACCAGTGGCCCCAGTTACCCCTTCCCTGCGCCTGAGTGACCTTCTATACCTCCTCCACAGATCCTTCTTTCTTTCTGCACCTCCATACCAATACCACCCACGGGAGATTCTGCAGGGCAGCCTAGCAGGCCCCTTCTACCAACGGGCCATCCAGTAACAGTCCCTGGTGATTTCTTTCCTGCTCCAGCAAGAGTTAGCTACTAACTCCAGGGTCTCCTGGATCCGAATCCCACACACACCTTCAACTCCTGTCCCCTCCTGGCCTGGTCTGCTGGGATCTCTCCTTGCTCCCTGTCCCCTCCTGAGTCACCTTGGTGATGGAGTCTGTCATTCCAGGACTGTCAAGGGCTGTGGTGAGAGTAGGAGGGCTTGGGAAGCATGTGAGGGACCCCTGCCCCCACTCTGGGCAGGTTCCAGAACTTTTTCTGGCCTTCTTCACTGGTGACCCTGGAGCAGTCTCCAGGGGACCAGGCACCTTTGCTAGTGACAGCCTGAGCTCTGCTTGTTTCTGCGTGTATTCTCCTGTCCACTCCCCTGGTTCCACTCTGCCTTTGATCCTTCTGGCCATCCTCTCCTTTCCTGCCTCCACTGTCCCTAAGACCTGCATCCTCATTGGTGCCATCTCAGGCTTCCTCTAGGAACACACCCTAGCTCTGGAGGTGTCCCTGGGGCATGCTCTGGGGAACTCAGCCCTTTATCTCTCCACAGACTTTCCCCAGGACATCCTGGGAAGCTGGGGAGGCAGATGAAAGTATAGAAAGAGGGAGGAAGGGCTTGCCCCACCATGTGTCCTTCTGCCATATTCTGCTGCACAGCGTTCACGCTCATCTTTTCATTCTCTAGTTTTAAAAACTCCTGCAGCTGTGGGGTAGAGAAGACTAAGGAGAAGGCCGCCTACAAGGTGCTGCGGGAGGAGTACCAGAAGCTGGGGCCTTTCTCCTTCGCGGAGATCAATGTCCTGATCTGCTTCCTCCTGCTCATCATCTTGTGGTTCTCCCGGGACCCCGGCTTCATGCCCGGCTGGCTGTCGCTTGCCTGGGTGGAGGGTGAGAAAAAGTAAGTTGTTCGTTTGGCTAAAGCCCCTGGCTTCGTTCATCAGAACCAGAATGCTGTTATTCTCCATCATAGGTGGCCAGAGGAAGGTCCAGGGTTGGGCTCTTGGTTCTGGAATGGTGGGTTTTATGAGTCATTTTATTCTGATGGATCTTCATGATGAAAATGCGGATGTGTTTCTTTCTTCAGCATCCTCTCCTGCAATGAACTGAGCAGAAAATGCATGGTCAGGCAGAGTGGCCTGAGAGTTTCTTGGGTTAGGAGTAGGTCTCCTAGAGCAAAGGGAGTATATGTAGAGTCTTTCCTGGCTCTGATGTTGTCATCAGAGCGAAGGTTGAGAAACTTGTAAATCCTAGGAAAGACAGGAGATATGGGCAGAGAGATGACTGCCTGAAACTGGATATTCTATTTTGATCTGCTTGGGTATTCCAAAAAGACCTTGTGGTCACCCTAGTGAACATGCAATTCTAAAGAAACTGGTGCAGAAGTCCACCCATGGAGCAGTGCAGGCTAAAAGAGGGAAGTGGGATCCTGAAACTCATCCAAATTACGTGCCCAAGAATATGAGCATCTTGTTTTTAGCCAGAACACAAGTCTTCTACACCACCTTGACCTTGACTTTGGGAGCTCCAGTTTTCACACCCAGTTGAGCCTGTTTCTTCATGTAGGAGGATTTAGACACAGAACTGACAGAGTCAAAACATGTTTCTTGGTTAACTGTCACTGCGGCCGCAGAGCTGGGCTAAACCCCTGTGTCCTCTTTCCCACCTAGGTACATCTCTGATGCCACCGTGGCCATCTTTGTGGCCATCTTGCTTTTCATTGTGCCTTCACAAAAGCCCAAGTTCAACTTCTGCAGCCAGACAGAGGAAGGTAAGGCCTCTCTGTCCTGACCTCCCAGTTCATCAGGATCGGGACCTGGCAGCAAACGATTATCATAAGATAAGCCCTGGGCCTAGTGGGGAGAAAAATCTTGTTCCACCAATCATGTTAGAAAAGCTTAGGGAGATGAGATTTTCAAGCCAATTATTATTTAGAGCAAAATCTCTTCTTTTTCTTTTGTACCAGGGGTTGAACCCAGGGGTGCTTAACCACTGAGCCACATCCCCAGCTCAGGGTCTTGCTTAGTTGCTTAGGGCCTCGTTAAGCTGGCTTTAAACTCTCAATCCTCCTGCTTCAGCATCCTGAGCTGCTGGGATTACAGGCGTGTGTCACCATGCCCGGCACAAAATCTTTTCTTTTTGTGCTTTTTAAATATTTAAAATCTTATTTATTGTCACACAGGGACAAAAAGTGTTTTGGATTTCCCTTAATGCCACCAGTATTTTTTCATATCTTCCTGCCTGTCTTTGTTAATATAAGTTATGTAGATTTAATAAAAAGACATGCAATTTGAACCTTATTTCTTTGTTGTTTAGGATCTTTGTCTTAATTTGGTACTATACTAGAAACATTTCTCACTATGACCACGGTCTCCAGATTCACTGTGTTTAGTGACAGCATCCTATGCCTGGAGGGACGATAGGATTTATACTAACAATTTTTTGTTAGTATAAATTGATGTTTTCTTGTGCATAGCTTTTCATTTGGGGGTGTTTTTCTTTAGGATAAATTTCTAGCCATGATATTGCTGAATTAAAAGAACATAAATGTCTTAATGGCTTTTAAAATGTTGGGCCAAATGTTTTTTGTTTTTTTTTTTTCGAAAAGCTTCTTCCATTTTAAAAGGCCAGCATGGAACAATCTTACCAAACTCTCACCAGCATTGGTAACAAGTATTATTGTAAATTTTAGCTAATTTACAGATATAAGCTGGTATCTCATTATTCTTTTTAGCTTTATTCTCCTTTGATTATGACTCTTTTTTGTCTTCTAACACTGTTCTTGGCTGTGTGTGTGTGTGTGTGTGTGTGTGTGTGTGTGTGTGTGTGTGTGTGTGTTTGCTTTTTCTTCTCAGAAAGAGAAACTCCATTTTATCCCCCGGCACTGTTGGATTGGAAGGTGACCCAGGAGAAGGTGCCATGGGGCATCGTGCTGCTACTGGGGGGCGGATTTGCTCTGGCTAAAGGATGCGAGGTAACTTCATCAGCCACCACTGCCTGGGGCCCTCAGATTCCTACCAGGAGGGAGGCCAGAGGTGCCACATTCCTCCACTCCTCCATCCCTGGGCTCCTGTAGTTCTGTCTCCTCTACAAAACTGCACATGCTGTGAAGGCAAGAACTCTCTCTTGTCAAATGAGAACCCTCTACCACAGACAGTGCCTGGAAGCGAGGGACCCCTCTTGAGAGTCTATAGAAATGAGTGGATAAGTGACCTCAGTTGTCTCTCTCTCTCTCTCACACACACACAACACACACACACACACACGCACGCACACACACACGCACGCACACACACACGCACAAGCCAAGAACACACTGTTGGGCCCACTTTGGGGTCTGGTAATAATAATCTCTGCTTTGATTATCTTAGGGAAATCTTTCCTTCAAGTCTTCATGAATATTTTCAGCATTTCCTTTGGTTCTTCTATATGCTGACTCTCTCGTTGCCCATGGTTTCAAAATTTCAATTTTTTTTCTCTAGCTAAGTATTTAACAATATAGGGGAAAGGAACAGCTTTTAAGGGAAAAATACACCAAAAGGTACCTTTCTCTACCTTCTTTCTTACCCCTTGGGGAAGAAATGAGACAGAGGGAGATGAACTAGCTCAGTGCTGCTATTCTCCCTCCCTCCCTCCCTCCCTTCCTTTTTTCTTTCCATCTATCCAGGAATGGAAGATAATAGATAGGCTTGGTCTATCTTGTATTTTCTGTTTCTTTAACATCTAGGACAGAATCTGGTATGTAGTGGATGCACACACACACACACACACACACAGATATCGATATATATGTATATCGTCATATATACATATATGACCAAACCCAAGGCCCCATGCCTACTAGGCAAGTGCTGTGCCACTGAGCTACATCCCCAGCCCAATACATAGTTTTGGGATGAGCAAATCCATCCATCAAGTCGCCTTTCCACCATTCCTCCACCTACCTGTTCATTTCTCCATCTATCATTTTTACATTCCTCAAACATTCCCATTACATCCCCCTAGTGTTAGGTTAGGTACAGGGATTATGGAGGAGACTGAGACATGGTCCCTGTTTTTAACACCTCATAGCCAAAACAGGGGGGTTTACCTGGAAGGACATTTCAGGAGGAAGTGACTCATGAGCAAGGGAAAAACACAAGATATCTGGTTCGAGAGCACATGAGGGTGGAGAAGCCTTTGTCCTGGAGTCTTGAATTCAGAATAGCATATGTGGAGATAGTGGAGGTTCCACTGAAGAGGAGAGGCCAGGGGAGTGACTTGGCCTCATGTGCATTTGAGAAAAATCTTTCTGATGTTTGAAGTGGAGACTTGGGGCAGGCAGGAGTTGGGGCAGGGCAAGCAAATGCCTTTTAGTCTTCACCTAACTCAATCTGAGAACGTGGACTCTTAGGTCATTCTCTCCTTCACACCTTCCCCCATTTTGGCCTGATTTCCTTCTGACTGTTCCCTCTCAGCCTCCTTTGCTGACTGATTTCTCTTCCTTTCTCCCTGAATTATGATTGTTTTCTCAGGCTCTGGCCTGTATCACTGATCTGTTTACTTTTCATTCTCTGCCTGCTCAGTCCCTTCTCATCCCAAAGTTCTAAATTTACATCCAAATTTCTGGCCCAAATCATTCTCCTGGGCTCTAAGAACTGTGGGAGATTGAGCGGAGAATGGATGTGAGTGAGATGTTTTGGGTGATGTGGTGACTGGGTGCAAGGAGGAAGGGGACAGAGACCTGTCTGTGTGACTCCCATACTTCTTGTTGAACAGCAACAGATGGTGAGTCCAGAGGGAGAAGTGGATTCTGAGCTAAAGCGGTTCTGGTTGGAGCATGTTGAGCATAGTGCTCACAGGACACCTGGGTGCGAATATCTTGAAGGCATATGGATGTTTAAATGCAGATAGTAGACCAGCTGAAAAGAAAATAAAGATTCAGGAGATTGCAGAGTGAGGATGAAGTGGGGGTGAATGAGATCACTTATGGGATATGCATGAGGGATTGGAAGTAGAGAATGAGCTGTGCTCCCCCACACCCTGGCCCTGGAGGAACTACAAAGCCAGAAGCCCTGAAGTCACTGGCCTCCTGCTGCTTCCCAGGCCTCAGGACTCTCCGAGTGGATGGGGAAGCAGATGGAGCCCTTGCAAACAGTGCCTCCTGCCGCCATCACCTTGATCTTATCCTTGCTTGTTGCTGTGTCCACGGAGTGTACAAGCAACGTGGCCACCACCACCCTGTTTCTGCCCATCTTTGCCTCCATGGTAAGTAGCCATGCCAGTGGGGGTGGAGAGGGTGGTATGTCATTTCACAGGAAGCTGTCAACCCATGATGATATTCTGGGTCCCTAGACAGGTGGTAAAATCAGGCACCAGAGCTTGACCAGGCTCAGAGAGCTGGATCTGGCCCTGGTTCTGACCTAGATTTGTGTGCCCTTGACGACCCTGGTCCTGAGGCCCTCACTGTTTTCTATTTCCTCTTTGTATTTTGTCTGTTGGTCAAAGCATCAAATATGGAC